CTTATGTTCAAATAGCATTGTTATAAGAAAAACAAATCAATTAAACGAAAATCAAGATCGCTTATTAATGGTTATAATTTTCCATTCAAAAATTTTAATAATAAAGGAACTATTAAATTTTGGCGATGTGCTAGTAGAAGTTGCGGTGTGCTATTACACACTAGTCTCAATGAAAAAATTTTACGTTATTACGGAAAAGTTATCGATCATACTCATTTACCAAATCCCAAAACGATCGAAGCCGAGAATCCCTGAACAACGCATCACAGAATTATAGAATCGGTTCAACAATAATCAAATTACAATGCAAGATTTATTACGTGGACTTTCTTATTTTGCTGTGAATAAAAAGTAAAATGAAATTCAATCCGTTAGAATAAAGTAAAAGGCGTTTGTAAAATTATCACCTAGCACTATTTTTATTTTAGTGAAAGAACATTTTCATAATTGAGGACATTTTTTCGAAGGACTAAATCAGAAAGGACCATTTTCCAAGGACATTTTGTCTTAGGGAAATTTTGTCTAACGGACGTTTTTTCGAGGACCAAATCCCGAGGACATTTCGTAAAGGACATTCTAGACTGCTACCGATTAATCCAACTACTTCACGTATCACTTCATCACTACAAATGGAATCAAATTCGTTTGTAAATTTCATTCAAAGTACTGCTCTCAAAGAATCACAAAAATTTACAGGAGATCCTCAACAAAAGTTACCCAATTTATTGATGGAGTCGAACGCATCGGAACATTCACTGAACTGAATGAATCGCTACTTCATTCAATTTCTAGAATTAAGTTAGGAGGAGCAGCCTTTAATTAGTACGATAACAACAAAGAAACATTACGATCTTGGAGAGAATTAAAACAGCATCTACTGGAACGCTTCAAACCATCCCTTTCTACTGCCAAAACACAACTGAAAGAACGTAAACAACAAGCTGGTGAAACACTGATCGCTTATTATGATGACATCATCGATTTATGTAAACAGGTTGATAATAATGTGCCGCTACATATGATAGCTGATTATTTACAAGATGGTCTTCGTCAAGAATTAAAAATACATGCCAAACGCCAAGTTAAAGCACTCAATGACGAACCGACTCCGGCTATTTTTTTGAAAATTTCCCGTGACGAGGAAGAACTACAACACGGAATCTCTTCTGAACAACAACCATCTATCACTCCTCCACAACCGTATTGTGTGTGTTGGTGTGGGTGTCTTCCTATAAAGCTACACCCACACCCAAAATTATAGTAACAGATTTTAGTTTTTTCTAATAAAAATATGAAAATGATTTGTCGTTCTCTCTCTCTCTCTCTCTCTCTCTCATTTCACGATGACTTTCAAAAGAGAATCGTGAATAGAACTGGAGAAAAATGACAGTATTTCATCTTTCTTCAACTAGTACCATAATAGAAGAGAAGAAAAAAAGATTCGAATAGTAATTGTTTTTGTTTTCTATATTTTCATAATATGAAGAAAAGAAAAAAACCATAGATCAATTTTTGTGCATGATACTTAATAAGAAGAAGATGGAGATGAATAGTTATGCTTTTAACAGTTCGAAAGACAAAATACGGTTACTAGAGGAAGAAAAATCGAAGATGACTTGTATATTATCAATGGATAAAAAAAGAAGCTTCGATTTTCTTTATAAAAATCAAGTAGGCGCTTACTACCAATTAGTTTTCTATGGATCGAAGTAATTTAAATATTGATGTTTACAATTAGGGGTGGTACGTTAACGTTAATTTAAAATTAACGTTAAATAAAACCGTTAACCGTTAATATTAACGAATTAACGCTTCTAGCAAAACCGTTAACCGTTAATATTAACGGTTAACTAATACGTTAACGTTAATATTAACGTTAACTTGAACCGTTAACGTTAATATTAA